TGTTTTCATACGGTAACCGTGAGAAGGGGGTTTTTTTGTGTTGGTAAAACTGATGTACCAAAAAGGATTTTGTGGAAATGAGAAAAAAAAGTCGTACAATTTTGTTGAAATAATTTAATACGGTGGCTATGGGCCGACGACGTTGGGGGCGTAAATCGAAAAAAGGCCCAAAAAACAAATCGAGCTCGAATCGAGCACGAATCGTTGTCGACAAACTTGGATAGGTGGAGTTTTATTCCGAAAACTTTCCTTTGCCCAAAACCCAGTAATAATGGATTTTTGAAGACTTTTTTTTAATGTTAAGCAGAAACTTCGGGCTTTTTACATAAGATATCACTATCCCACACTGAACCTAACACTAACCCTAACCCCAAACCTTATCCTAAACCTAGCCCCTAACACTCACCCTTACCCTAACACCTTACCCTAACCTCTGACCCTAATCCTAACCCCTAACCCTAATCGAGCTCGAATCGACCTCGAATTGCTGTCGACACACCTGGAAAGCTGAAGTTTCATTCCGCCACTACCAAGGAAACTCCTGCCGGCATTTCATTATAGGAGGAGTTAACTGTAGCGTCAAGCGCCTGACAGTAAAACGCCTTCTGCTGTTCTCATAGAAGTATGCTGAAGTTCAATGATATAATAAAAATGAGTAACCGGTTAATAAAAGTATTTCCTTAACAATTCCGAATAGTCGAGATCAAGGCCTGTTTTTATGAGTGAAAATTAATAATAACCATCCTCCACAAATCCATGTTGAGGTATGTGAAAACACCGCCCCGTGAAAGGACTAACAAACTAAGTCGGCATTTGATAGTCTTAAAGGGGAAGAAGCGAAAGGGACAGGATCAATTTTGTAAAATAGGAAAAGGCGGCACTGCGGTGATCTGGGATTCTTAAAGGGAAAGATAGTCCTAAGACCAATTTTGTAGAAAAGGCGGCGTCGGTGTGATCTGAGAGATTTAAAGGGGAAAAGTGGTAGTCACATGATCAATTTAATAAAACAGGAAGAGGCTGCGGCGGCGTGATCCTATTGCGCATGCGGTCTTGTTGAAGACGCTCTGATCGAACAGGTTACTGTTGCATTTGCATAAGCTCCAGGTTGGTAAAGTATTTTATGACATGTTAGCCAGAATACTGAAACGTGGTTTCCGTCACGAGGGCCAAATTAGATGATGCTATGATGTTGTCGTGCAGCATAACTATGAGATATTTAATTCACGATAGGATGCCGATTTGAATGTGCATCTTTTCAACCAACTACAAAAATTCAACTCATGAAAATAATTACTTAATTATCAAAGACTTGTCAGTGTTCCCATAAATCTAGACACATGTCACAGAAAAGTGCATTAAGATATTCTTCAGTGCACTCATTTTTGTGAAAAATTATCCTTTGAATTTTGTGCTAGAAGAACAGTATCCCATATTTTGAAGGAAGGTTTTTAATTTCACAATAACTTCTATCCCGACCTGTCGTTGCGTACAGGTTTGTGGTTTGCAAACTACAAGCTGCCTATTTCCCATATGGGGAAAATAGTAAACCGACAAGACAACGAGCTCGTCGCTCAATGGTTAGGGCTTTATATTCTGATCAAAAGATCGCGAGTTCAAGGCTCGGGTGGTGCACCACTTGGGTCTGGATATGGCTGGCTGACGACGGCTAATAAGCCAGAAATGAACACTACAGTTTTCCTTTCTCTTTGTCTATTTGCCTAAAATACTTAACTTCATTAAGAAAGTGTCATATAGGCTGACAAAACAGTGCAATCAATGTGCACCACGCTTTATGCTTTACAAGGTGCATAGATAAACGTACTTTTCTTAGGTTAGGCACCTTGCGGTCTTTAAAAACCCTATAAATAAAAAAGACTTGGCTTTTCCGGATATAAAATTTAAAGAAGACGTAAATCTGCATAAGAGGGTAAAAGATTCTAATAAGGCTTACTCGTGGCCAAGAACGGGACGACCAGATCGCTGATTCGGAACCAAATCGTAACCATAGAAATTCAAGCCCACAAGTATTTTGGAACGAAGATCGCTCTTGGATCCCGAGGGAGCCAAGAGCTCAACGCATTCGCGAACCCATTTAATGGGACTGTTTGGTCCAGGCCTATAAAAAATATACAAGAAATCAGGCAATGGAGGAAAATTCGAGTTGAAACAAATGATGAGCGGAAGCACGCATGCAAAAACTGCGGAGACCTATTTCCCATAGTCCGTCGATAAGACTTGGATCTCTGATCAGTGAACACTGCAGTAAACACTCCACCATCGGGTCACAGTCTGATGCTATGCTGGCTACGACCCAGATTTAGGATTAAGTGTTTTATCCTCGTTGCAGGACGGCAAATAACCCAAAAAAGGCTAGTCTAGTTACGCCCGCGTTTGTCTCTCGCTTAGTAAAAACCTATACGAGGAAGATACGAGGTCCTCTGTTCCATTTTGCAATCGGCGTAATTCATTAAGTATCCCTTTCACGTGATGTTGAACGACTAGACAGGAAAATCAAGATCAGGCAGGTAGAAGGAGTTTTACAGGAATCTTAGCACAAACCAGGGATAAATGGGCAAAAGTGGAAACATACATATAGGGATTAGAATAGTCATATGTCATGAGACTGAAGAAGTCCACGTCCGAAGAGAGAAAGTTGAAGTGTTCTCTCACAAATGAACCGGTGTATCCTCTAAATAGGGAGTTTATTGCGACAAAGTGTTACTTACCCCTGATAAACGGGTGGTGGAATTGCGAGAACGATACTCATTTGGTCGTCATGCAGACTTCTTGATAGGCGCCGTATAAAAAGCATCAACTCTCTGCAAATATTAATTATTCAAAATAAGAATGTACTCATGAGATGTCCCAGAATGCTGCATCCAAATTTCGAGAACAATGCCGTCGAATTTGTATTTCTAGCCACAAATGGAAAGCAGTCGTGAAATATTTAACTCAAAAAGTATAACTCGAAAAAAAAGCAAGAAGACGAAAGGACGCTCGGAAGAGTATCGAAACTCCTCACAAAGTTGCATTTTTAATTATAAATGATACATTATTACGTCCGCGGGGCCTTTGTTTCACAAACACAAAATGGCGAAAACAAAACAGATTTGGGAGTAAGCGCATGGTGACAACAACGGTACCAGTTGGTTGCGATATTCGTCAAGCGACAGTTAAGGATGGAAGGTGGAAGAGTTGTCGTGCAAAGCCTCTGCTGATCAATTGTAAAACTTGTCAGCAAAAAAACATGATACTCACATCCGGGATGCCTATGAAATAAGCCTACAAACTAAAATAAACCTTGCAGATAACTGGTCACTCTACTTAGGAGAAATGTTGGACCTCAGCCTTAGCATCGAAATCCAACTCTTGACCTCTCAAAATAGTGCCTATTAAGACAACGCTCGTACTCTATAACTGACACGAGTTTCCAACCGTTTAATAAAAAGAGTCAAGAAGCAGGAGGAAATAATGAATGATTGGAACAATCAATATATCGTTCTTGTGTCTACCATTCGCACTTATACTGACGCGCCAACGTGCAGTACTTTAGTAATGGCGCTTCGTACTTTAGTGCCCACCGCTTGGTCTGCCGTAACTCAGTCATCCCCATCCAGGTGATTATTCGTGTTTGTAGGCAATTTCGTTACGGCTTAGCAAGTCTTGCTCTCCCCAGGGTACTGTTAGGCTGCATGTGACACATGTGACTTATTTCGCAACTCAGTTATAAACCTGCGTTGACCGTGGAAAGGCAGTTTTGTTTGTTTGTGAACTCGAAGCTGACGATAAGCGACTCTAGCAAATCACGACGCACAGGGCTTCGTCAATATAAATTGGGTGAACTACGTAGAGAGACGCGCGATCGATGCAATATTGGTCACAATAAGCGTAAAAAAGACGACGGACAGCAACTAGTGCGTCTTTGAAGCACGAGAACGCTCATCAGAGCAGGAGTTCTAAGATGCCTGGTCTCCCGTCCTATCTTTTTTGAAGAACCTGCTGAAGTTGGGTGCCCCATTATTTGTCTTTGGTTCACGGCAGTACACCTGAATGAGTTGGTAGAAAATCTCTAGGAAAATCAATTTTTGATTAGTTTGGTGTTTATGACTGAAGTTCAATAGTTGAGTGGTGTCCTTCGATCTCTTATCCTTAACTTGATAAAACACGGAAACGTCCTTAAGATATTTTAGAAGCGCCAGCATCTATAAATCGAGCCCAAAATACCGGTATTTAAGATTGGGAGACCAACAGCGACACTGGCCCAACTATGGTTAATGAAGTCCGTAAAATCTATTACCGACATTTTACTTGTTTCAAAGTAGTTACACAGAACGGTTCTACTTTAAGATGTGCCTGAGTTTAAATATAACAGTGAATAAGATAAAGCGAGAAGAAAATAACATCTGGAATGCCTAGAGGCTCAAATAGAAAAGCACAGCGTAATAACCAACGGACAGCAGATACCTTCAAAACGGGAAGAATTGCTGATATGCATGTAGATTGGGCCCCAGAGGTCCTAAACAATTTCTGATAATTCGTCTCGGTCCATCCGTCAAAAATCAACCGCGGAAGAATTTTTACGTCCTGATTTGCACCCCTCACCGCCGACATCCATGAAGAGTCGATGTCATGCAACCCTTCAACTGTACATCCCTCCGAAGGAGGCAGCCGCAGCCAAACAGGTGAGATGTGCGAAAACTTGACGGCGAATAATTTGGCAATATCATAACCTTTAGAATTCCACTAAAAAATAGATTAATAAGTGACGTACCGGTGTCACATAGGCCAAAGAAGCCTGTGTAATTTTCTTCGGGGATATTTGGTATTTATTGTAGTAATTATATGAGTTGAGAAAATCCTTGTAGAATATCTTCTCAGTTAAAGGAAGAGCATTCTGGAACCGTAATAGGAAAAAAAGGCCGAAAAAACTTACTTTTTTCCCGGAGTCTGATACGTCTATTTCGCATACACATTTGCTAAGTAATAATAAGAAAGCGGAAAAGCACAGCTTAAACATCAAGTTGGACTTGAATAAAAAGTGCCTAAAATTAAGATGTTATGTTGTTAGGTGGGGGTTACAACAGGGACACAAAAGGTCTTAAAGTAGAAAGATAAACTGTGAAAAAATGTGCACTTTTTATTATAGGAATTCAAGCAAAGGTCAATGCATGTGATAATACTGTTGTATATTTAAATAAATTTATTACCGAGTGACAAATGTTACTCCGGCCACTGAAAGCATGCCAGATCCTGGAAACTATTTTTTGAAAAGGGGGACAGACAATGCGCTGCCACATCGAGGTGATGGTATATGCGTTCTTCTGTCGATTCAAGTAAGAACCACATATAGCATTTCACCTTAACCCAATAATTTCAAAAATGACCTGACATCGTTTTTGTGGCCGGGTTCAAAAAACACTTTCAGTGTTTAACAGCGCAATAGCTTAGGATACCAATGTATATTCACGCCTAAAAGAAAAATCGACTGATAAAGCGATTTCCTACTTTTTAAAATAATGCTCGCTCGTAGGCAACAATCCTGGGCGATCTTAAGGTAACCTGCATATATTCTAAGCTGCCTCGCGATGTAAGCTCAGTGAGAGCTAAAATGGCACCACGGACGGACGAGTGTGTTCTCTAACAGATCGGTGTACGCTTATCTGTTACCAAAATAGACAGTGTATACTAATAGCAAAATTTGACGCATAATGACAGGCACAGCGCGCCTAAAGTGTGTCGGTTCACGTCAAAAGCTTCACTCGTAAAGCCTGAGGTTAAGATTTTTTTCGCCAAAGTTGTCCCCGGTGGAGTTATCTCAAAG